GTTTATTGTTGTGTGTAGCCGTTTCACCGCTGAAACCGGACTGACGCTCACGAAACGGATCAATCAGCCGTCGGTCTCCGGACGCCCGACCGCACTGGTCTCCGTGCGCGGCTGGAGAACGGGATCACGTGCTGCGCTCCGCCAGTGCATACTTCACGCACGCACGCCGCCGAAATCTAAAACGCGGACTGCTCGGGGGGGACTGCGGGGCGTGTCTGTATACGAGGGCTCTTTTTGTTGTAAAGCACGAAGTCCTTTCTGACGGAACTCCCCCAATTCCAAAAATGTTTGTCCATACGTCCGTACGTCTGTGCGTGCATTTCCCGCCATTTTTTGCGGGAAAATTGACGTCACGTGACCTATTCAGCAATTCAGTTTTCCGATAAATTTAGCGAGAAAATTTACGTGACCTGACCCATGTACCAAGTGAGCTTCCCCGTTAACTTTGTTCGGTGAAATGAATAAAAATATAGGTTCTTCACTCCCCGAAACGACTTTTTAATGTCTTCTAAACAAATTTAAATGATTGCTACTCAAGTACTGCCTTTCATGCTTTAGAGGACTACGGAGATAAAGGTCACTGTAAACGTTTTTCAACCTCCAAGAAACTGAATAAAAAAAAAAAAAAGGAAAGACGAAGAGCTTTCTAATTTACACAAAATTGAGATACGTAAGGTAGCTATACTTCTTCACACAGCTACCTCGCAGATTTAGGTAATGACGCATGACGCGGAACAATCTTAAGGATGCCCTCAATGATGGTTGCCGCCCGGGATCTGAGTCATTTCATCACGCGTCAAACATGACCGTCAGCCTCCACAACGCGTGATGTGTGCGTATGAGCCCGTTTCGTTTCGTGGTAGGACGAACAGACACCCACGATCATCGGGGTCAGAAAATATATGACGACCGACGCTCTTGTTCAACTCGTGATGGAATAACTGAGAACCCGTGCAGTATCGGTCTATCAGGAAGGCATCCGAAAGCTTGCGGCACCGCCATGATGATAGACTAACTCCCTGCGGTAATGATGTCAACAAGTAGCTATGGTACTTATCTACATTCTGTATACAGCATGTCCCCCCCCCCCCCCCCCCCCCCCCCATTTTTTTCCCCCTTTTTGCTGTTAAAATAAATTACGCATCGTTCAACGCTCTTTTTCCGCCCAAATGTAGCGATAGCGTTCAAAACCAGATGCCGAAGTTTCAGCACTAACTGTTGTCTTATGCGAAAGTTATAAATAATTTCTGAAAATTTCAACTGGGAGGTGGGGCTCATTTTCGCCCATTAAAATATAAGAAAATCACTAATAACTTTTGAATAAAATAACGGTTAGTCCTGACACCTTGGCGTCTGGTTCGTACCGCGAGCGTTACGGTTGGTTGGAGAATGAGTGTTCGGCGATGCGTAATGTCTTTTGGCACTTAAAACAAAACACACAAAAAAACTATTTTTTAATGTTTTGTATAATAAAGCATTTCTAACTAGTTCATCGAAGGTTGAAAAACAACAACAAAAAGACGTGCCTCTTGGTATATGCGGAGCAGTGTTAGCTCGATGTGCTTCGATGCTTGGCGTGGCGAGTCCACCGAAAGGCGCACTCAATAAAGTCTGCGGCAGCGCTCTCCGACTCGCACACCAGAGGGCGGCGGGGTCCCAAAAAAAGCAGACCGACTTCCGACTCCGGCCTTTTGTGATTCGGACGCTCGCTGCTTTTATCTGCGAATAAATCAGAAAAAGGGTATCGTTTTTTTTTTGTTTTGGTTTGCGTTGTTTTTTTATTGTTTTGCTGTTCTTTTGTTTTGGTCTCCTTTTGTCTTGGGACTGCCTCCTCATTGGCGTGGCCTGGCGGTTCACCGGCCCTCAAACCGAAACCACAGAGGCGCGGTAGTCTCGAAACGATTGGAGTGGATATTTTGTTTTGAGTTTTATCTTGAAGTTTCCGACTACCCGCTTCTGGGGATCTCGAGTTTTTCTTCCTTAACTTCCTTGGTGTTGGATCTTCTGTGCGCGCGGGACGTTTTCTTTAAATTTTGCTTACTTTTGTTTAAACGAGAGGTCATAACTGGAAAACACTTCGCGCCTTTTGGGCAATATCGTTTTAAACATAAATAATAATAATAATAATAAAAACTAAACATATGATGCCACGCTCTTTGCACAGATATTTCGCATCCTATAGACCGTTCCAGTAGGAAGAGCGAAGAGAGAAAAAATGCCCTCCCCTTCTCACCCCGATTGTCGTCTGCTCCGCCGAGTAGGCTGTACCTACCATCCGGCTGGCGTGCAAACTCGGTTTAAAATCGCGTCATATTGGAAATTTCAAGCGCAGGTGCGCGGATTTTGTTATGTAAGTTATTGTGCAATGCTATACTTGATAAAAAAAAAAAAGAACGTACCGAGTTTAATTGCAATGTTACCTGCGTGCGAAAAAAAAAAAAAAGAATGAAAAGTTGTGTCAGAGTGACCTGTCGCTCCGGCGAAAAGTAACTCTGGTGCCCTAAACTCGTGAAACACAAAGTTGGAACCGAAAGTTCGCGGAGCACGCCGATTGGACGCTGGCGACAAAAGCGCTAAGTCATCGTCGTAATCGTCCAATCGGTGCGCTTCGTGAACTTAGGCCCCAACTTTGTGTCTGACGAGTTTAGAGCCCCTGGTTGCTGTAGCGGTTTTACTATACGAAGTTTGTATACTGGTGTAGGCCTTTAGCGACAATGAGTGAAAGTCTGAAATAATAAATATAAACGTGCTCTCATGGCGCAATAGACGCAGTGGTTCAGCTGCCGGCTGACTCCACTGCTATTGAAGTAACAGTACAAAGATACGCTAGTTGATCATTTTCTGAAATAAAACAACATAGCGCCAAAGGCTGATTTTGTAGTAGCCATAAATATTCTAACAACGCGAACCACTTCATAACGGCAGCCACGAGCGAGATTTCGATGTTCGGTACTGCCCGCCGGTAAGCTTGCAAAAAGGGAGAACGGCAGCCTCCCGGTTCGTCGTCTGCTAGCAGAGTCCGGGCGCGTGCCCTCTCTCTCGTTTTGCCCTGCCGAACCTGCTGTACTTCCCGGATGTGTGAAGAGGGCGCTGCAGTCTAACAAAATGGCGCCGCCCTGAGAGCGCTAAATGGAATGGTCTGTAAAGTCGACATTTCTTTTTTGAAAGAAAAAAAAAAAATATCACTACTGGAGTTTGTCTATTTTCTTTCTAACCTTTAAAGGTATCGATAAAAAAGAAACAGCCACTTGGCTTTTTTTTTTTTTTTTGGCCTAGAGGTAAACTATAGTTTCGTTTTCTCTTTTTGTTCTCCATAACTCTAACCTTATCGCTGGTTGGGGCAATCGGTAGTGTCCCAAAAGACAGGCCCTGACGAGAATTTTATTTCCTTTTAGTTTTTACGCTTGTTGAGTACCAGTGTTTAGGAACAAGTAGAAGGGAGCGGAGAACTTCGAGGTTGTTTTCGAGAAAGAAAAAAAAAAAATCCTCGAATAGATATACATTTCAAAAATATTTTCCTCTTAGAGCGCCGGACGCGGAGGAACACAGATGAGTTCTCTCACATCATAGGTCTTTTGGACCTTTCGAACGATGTGAACTTTATGTGTACTTGATGTGAGTGCGAGATGAGCTCGGTGGACGCGTCTGTCAACACACCTAAGCCCCGAGCATGTGGAGCAAAAACCTCGCTCTGCAAAACGCGGGGATCCCACGGGTTCAATTCAGACCCCTGCCCGCTTCGATCTGGGTATTAGCGGCGAGATGTTTTGGTGGCGCCCTCCTATGGTTCCCCCTTGTGACGTCATTACCTTGCGAACAACAAGTTCGATGGTGTTTGTAAATAGCATGGTGGAAGCCTGAAATCATTGCGCTCTCAAAGCAACACTGCCAACACCGTCGAAATTAAAGTTCTTTCATTCCTCTTATTTCCGTCGATGGTATACCCTTTCCGACGTCATAGTCAGCTTTTGGGCCCATCGTGGAAGGCCGACCACAGCGACGCTTTTGGTCGCGCACGTCGCCAATGAGCATCGTACCGGCGTGTGCTCGTGTAATCACAACTGCGCGATGCACGTTAAATATTGCAGGCTAGTGGTGGCGCTGTTTGTGCTGAATCTCTCATCTACAACAGCGACACCAGACGCGCATCGCGCCTGGATGATTTTCCGGTATCTAACCATGCGGAGGGCAGGTCACCTGCTTCTTGCGCACGATCTGCCGTAACGTCAGAACGACGCCGAGCTCAGATTGGCGTTGACTGAAAGGATAGTAGGTCGACCTGAATGCTAGATGCCTTGAGATCTACCCACTATTTTATTTAAATCAGCCAATAGGAGCTCGGTGTTCTGACATCATCGTAACATGCAAGAAGCAAACAAACTTGCGCCCCCCCCCCTCCCCCCCCCTTCCCCCCCCTCCCCCCCCGTACACACTACAGAGCTTTAGATTGCAACTTGAAGCTTCGCACAGAGCATGCGCAGAACATCTGCGCGTGAGCAGTTTGACACGCCGAGTAGCTTGGGACAACTTTATTAGATTAGCTCAGCTACGGAACTGCTCATAGACGCTGCACGCACCAAGATGTACCCCCTCCCCCCCCCTCACTTACCACGACTTGCCACGACTTTTGTCGTTTTCCCCGTCGTTCGACGCGCCGGATGGCTGCTGTGGTAACTGCTGTGTATTGTAGCGAATACGTACGTTTCGAAGTGCAGCGTCTAGTTGGCGTTCCACTGTACTCTAAGGAAAACACAGTTCGTAAACAAAAATCTAGACGGCACTTCGAACGACGGGAGGCGGACTGAAGTGAGGGAGGGCGGGTATTCCCTTCCGCGGGAGTTCCACAACTGAGGTAATCTTGTAACGTTGGCTTGGGGGGCATCCAAGGCGTTGGGGTTCCCATCCTAAAGCTCTTTGCTTGCATTTGTGAGTGCGGGAAATTCTAAGGTGTTGAGAAACTGACTTTGCGCGTCTCTTTATTTGTTTTGTTTCTTGCGTAGGTTCGACTCGAAGACGCGAGAGCCGCGCCCAGGCGAACGGCACTCTGCGGACGATCCCGCCTCCGGCGACCGGCAAACCCGCGTCGGAACCGGGTCCCCCGCCGTCCAGGCTCCCTCCGTCGCCCACCGAGGGCTTCCACAGCAACAGGCTACTCCTAGCCCAGGTGAGTGATTCCGTCGTCTCACTTCGCCACTGCGGCGGCTATCTGGGCACTCCCGGGATGGCGCGATCACGACGGTTTTCAAATGGTGTCCTCTTGGGAGTATAGCGCCGTTGGTGCGAATGAAGTGCAAGCGACGCCCACAATTTTGAGCCTTTGAAGAGCGCTTCCTTTGCACACACCCCTTTTTAGGTGTCCTACGCCTGAAGCCAGATGTTTTCGATTATGGTATATGACAAGTTGAGACACATCGGGCGTGGCGAATCTTCAGCACCTTATTCAGCAGTCGGAGAGATTACTTCTTTATTATGGAGATGTTTGTGTTCTTGAAATGACACCGGCTACTCCATAACGAGAAAGATAGAGAAAATATATATGAATGAAAGGTCGATAAGGCACATTATTATACGATAAAAACAGTGAAGAACACTCATGAAGATGTGAGATAGTAAAGGCCACGCTCGGTCTTCTTCAGCTGTGGGTGGCTTGCGCCATCTTTTCCTCGAACAATGTAGCTACGGACGCTACTATCTCTGCCGAGATGTTCGGCTTTGCTTTGTTCAGTTACTGGTACTTATGCTCACACAAATCTGCTGGTATGTGCTATACGCTTCTTTTTTTTTCTCTCTCTCTCTCTTTTTACGCCCGAGCTTAGCCGGCGTTACGAACGGATGGGATAAATGAAGCAACCTCCAAAAGTGCAACCTTAAGGCGCCCTTCACTTTTCTCCGCGTGTTCTTTTATCTAATGCAATGAATGCCCGGTGACTTGCGCTTTTCGCATGGGTGTTGGCGTTCGTATTAAAACCTTCCACTGCGCTGTGATATATTCGAAGAGTTTTATAGTTACATTTTCTTTATGAGACTGTATTACTTCATAACTGAGTTTGTTTTTTGTTTTGTTTTCATTGGGGATACGACGTCAGAGAGTTTGATCTTTGCAAATCATAGTTTCGAACGCGACACTCAGCATTGCAGTTGGCACCCCTCTGCCGTGAACATTTCGAGACGAATTTATATAAATGCCTTTGGATGAGCTGAGAATCACCAACTCACGATCCCAGCTCTGCGCGTGCCACTCGAGAGCCTCTGGTTGACCAATAACCTTCAAAGGCCTTCATAAAGGCTCTTGGAACTCTCTTTGAAAGAGGGACATAACTGCGATTGGCCTAAAGATCTTGAACTGCCCCGTGGCAGCGACGTGATGCACCTGTCACGGACGCGCACCTGAAGATCACTTGAGATCGACGATTTAATGCAGTCAGCAAACTAGAGCATTTTGAGTATTGTCGAGAGCGGTTATAACGAAGTCAACGGGAATCGAAAATCACTTCACTATATCCGCTATTTCATTATAGCCGACTTCTGTTAACGAAAAAGGAATAGGAAATTGTGATCGCTTGGCTGTAACTGCTATTTCGTTATAACCGACTTCGTTATAACCGGTCTCGACTAGAAGGAGCACGTTCGGACAACGCCACATAGAATATTCAAATCCTTTGCAATAAAATTTTAGTGTCATCACATTTAGACCGCTAGCCAAGACACAAATTGGATACGAGTGCTTCGTCAGTGCCCGGCTGGGACTCGTGTCCAGTCAACGTGTAGGACGACGCTCGGCATCGGGCTCGGGTGTACTAGCCAAGTTGGGCTTCATCCGACAGTAATGACATGGCACGGAGTCAGAGTGGGGTGTTCGTAGGCCTTCATTATTCTAGATGGTGATAGTTCGCTTCGCGAGCTGACTCACCCCTCGTCGGATTGGCATTGGGCTAAATTTCATTTGAAATGCTGACAGGAGCGTTATAAATTCACAATGACTTTCTTTGATCGGTACATCGGTCAGACGCTATACTCGACATGCTATCTTGTCTAACCTTAAGAAGTCGGCGCTAATGCGACGGTCTGAGCAATCTCGAAGCAACTTAAAAAGAAGCTAAAAAAAAAAGAGTTAGAGAGGAGTTCTAGCGTATTTTTATTACGTGAATATGAATATCACGTTCGTTTTTTTTCGCAAATGTAACTAAACGCGAGAAACCGCAAAAAAACCTCCCACCAGTCGTGGCGTCACACTAGGATCTTTGGGCCGCCAAGCGCGTGTCGCTCGTGTGGGCTGCGCGTGCAGTTACAAGCTCGCCACATATAGAGCTTTCCAAAAAGAAGCGTGTGGCCGGTGCCACTTTGAGTGTTCGTGCGTATGGCGCGTGCTTTGCTCGCGTCCCGAAGCGGCAAACACGCACTTGCTGGGCTGTGAAGATCGCACGCTGGACTGTGATTTTGTAAACATTGGAAAGGTCTATAGGGTGTCCCAAGTCACCAGGCCCGATCAAAAATGGACAGTAAAATTCGACGCCTGCACGTAGAAATCTTACCTTTTCGTCAAAGGTGCATGTACTTCACAGGTCGGTTTTTTTTTTCTTGTAAAATTACGAAGCGGAGCCCCCTTTTCGTAAAAATTAGGGCCGAAACACTTGCCAGGGTCAACGGCGGGCGGCGACGCAGACGACCAACTCGAGTTGCGGGACGCGTTTGGCACGCGTATTTGTAGATGGCGTCAGAAGCAGCGTCGAAAGGTGTAGCCGACCAGCGAATGAAAGCAGACGATACACAGACGAAATCCGTTGGCAGAAAAAGCGCCGTCTTTATGCAAACACGTTTTCTTAAGCTGTAAGTATTGCTTTTATTGTCCGCATTTATTTCTTAACCGAAGGTACGTTACAAAAAGATTATGTCCATTTTAATTAACCTCGGTGGTCGCGTGCAGTCTCGATAAGAAGGTAGCGCCATCTATCAATTCGAGCGCCAAACGCGCCCCGCAACTCGACTTGGTCGTCTGCTTCGCCACCCGCCGTTGACCCAGTCAAGCTTCTTGGCCCTATTAAGGAGCAACGCTTTCTAATTCTACGAGAAAAAAACCGACCTGTGAAATGCACCTTTGACGAAAAGTTTAGAACGCTACGTGTAGGCGTCATTTTTTACGGTTAACTTTAGATCGAGCCTGGTGACGTGGAACAAATGTTTCCGCACTGACGTACACCAGTCATGACATCTCTTTCTGGCCTTTTAGAAAATAGCAAGAGTGCGCGTGCATAGTTTTGACAGGCGCTGAAGATGCGCGAGAGAAAATATTCCGAAAACTCCTGGTATGATGTCACGCCCCGTTAAAGATGGGCTTCGGCGGTACTTTCAAAATTAATTTCTGCAGCCTCCGTCCACCCAACAGAAATCGAATCTCGATATTCGTGATCCTGGAGACCGAATGAAGGCCATTGATGTGTCTCAAATACAGAACCGCTGGAGTTTCCCCTTTAACGACGTTTGGGATCTTATACTGGCCGCCGTCGCTTTTACGATGTTTTCTAAAAAAAAATATCCCTTTTGCTCTTAGTTTTTTTGTTTTATTCTTGCTCTATTTTTTATTTTTGTTGCTACACAGACGATCAGGCGCGCGTCTTATTTTCAGCTATTCGCCTCATTTCTCGTTCTTGTTTTCGTTTTCTACCAAATTCAAACATTTTGTGGAGGTTCGAGCAGTTTTGCTTCTTATTATATATTCCCCCGTGTTTTCCGCCCCACCGATTTATCAACGCCAAGCCAACGTACCGAGAGAAGTATAAACGATGTAGGCTGTCGAGTCCATTTGCGTTTCCTGCTCGTGTTTCCAGCTTTTTTGCTTTTACTTTTTGAATCATGAAGCCGATTAGAGAGGTTCGCCTTAGTTTTTATTTTATTTGGGCGTCATATGTTTTTTTTAATTTGTTTTATTACATTTTTTAGTGCGTCCGCAGAAAACAGCTACCGGTGAGTCGATGACCTCCTGCGCTTAAAGATGCGCGGCGTGTCCGAATGAACATTCGGGTATTTCTCGTCCTTTCGATCTTTGCAACGAATCATTAGGAGAACGACGTCTGGTGGGAGATCCGCGAACGAATCGATATATCCGAAAAGAAATAAGTGGGGAAAAACTCGATACGTCCAACTTTGTTACCCCCTTTTTCTCCTTCTCTCCCTCACTCCCTTTCTTCCTCCCTCCCTCCTCCTCCTTTCCCATCTTAATGCCTCCTTTCTCTCCGGAGGCCGCGCTCTCTCGCCCTTTTTGAGTTCGGGATATCCGATTCTTAGTTAAAAGTCACGCTTGAGATTGAGAGGGGAAAAAAAAGTGGTAATAGTACTACTACGACAGTGAGGTATATAGTGTTGGCGCTCTTATGGTGTGTGTAATGCCAAAATTTCATAGGCTCTGAAGCGATAATAAGATGCTCGGCAATCGTTACGCCCCGCGTTTCTAAAGTTGGCGGTAACTCTATAGTCAGTAACAACTTAAGAAAGGAAGGACACGGTGAGTTGCGAGAGTCTATACTGTCGTGCCGCAGCCAATCACACTGTGGCATTAGCTCAAGAGAGCGCGGAAGAACGAATCACAAATCGTGAAGAATTATCATAATAAGCCTCATCTTGCGTTTTTCAAGCTACCGTATTTACTCGTGTAATGAGCGCACTATTTATGAACAAGGCCCTTGCGTCTACTTTTCCGTGAAGCACATATGCAGCCAATCATCGCGTTGAGCATATATGATATAGCGAATAATTAGTTCGAGAACACAATTCTTCATACAAATGCAATCTCCACAGATGCTATAGCTTCGCGCGAAGACGTTATCTCTGTCCTGTAGGCCGCTGGAACCATGCTGTCGATCGCGGTGATTGGCAAGCCGCGTGCTCTGCGGAAAAGCGAACCCTCAGGTTTTCTTTATAAACAGTGCGGCTATTACTCGAGTAAATAGGGTATCTGCCACTGTAGTTTATAAACTGAGAACCTGCAAAGCTTTGCAGATATGCTTTCTAAACAGTCTACAAGTATAGTTTCTTGAGCAAACCTGAAGCATTGCTTGTCACGTATATACTAGGGTGCCTTCATGTGCGCTTTGCTTAGGGTGGTGGCATCTCGCCATTTTGTCACACACGTTTATTTTTATTTTTGGTTCAGAAGCGCGTGAAAGAGCG